TAACTACGCATGCTTATGCAGCAGGTTCTCGGTCAGAAAGCGTTACGGTCGTACAGACAAACAAGGAGAATAATAGTATAGATGCTTTATAATATTAATCAAAATATAAATTAAAAAAAGAAATAACCCTAGGTTATTAAAGAATTTTACTTTAACTCTGAGAACCAACATTCGCACGTAATGTTATTAAAATCGTTCATAAAGGTGTAAGTATATAAAAAAATATACAACAAAAACGTATACTTGATATGAATGGAATGTACTATATATGTATTTCCTGTATCAATCCTTTCATCTATAATGTTCGGTTTCACTAAGGAATATACTTATTATCAAACAATGTCTTCCACAAACGACAACAATAAAAAAATATTGCTTAAGGAAAGGATTAAATGTGTACATATTTGAGCTTTTCCCTTACGGGCAGTCGTTCAGAAGTAATACTAAGGGTTTTTTTTTTCAGTAAATATCAACCTGCTGAAAGGAATTTAGAAAATGAGTGTCTTGTTTGATGAATTTCGAGACTAGATAAAATAATTAAAGTCAAATTTGGAACCTATATCTTATCGTAATATATATTTCTGTTACAATAAATTACTGGAATTTCATTTTTTATTAGGATTTTATTAAAAGCTCGATATTAGGAAAAATGACAAGTTTCCAGAAAATCTGTACAACAAACTTGCACTTAATGAAATAAAAAAGGTTCCTATAAGGCTAGTACAATCAAGCATAGTTAAAGTAAACTATTTTCACCACTCAAAAATGTATTTACATCGACAAAAAGATCATAAACATATATGTATATATGACTCCATTTTATAGGATGTTATTAGAAACTTTTGATATAACCTATTATTTCTTACTTGAGAAAACTTCCTTCACACAGTTCTACCCTGTCATCTATGTAGCATAACATGAACGTGCAAGGATTTATATTATGTTTTTATACGGTGCGTATTCCTTGAGAGTAAAAACTAAAGAACACATTTTTTATATTTTCACTTAAAGCAATGGGATTTAAAATAGTGATGTGAACAGAGTAAGAAGGAACTGTCACGTGCAGCAGCCACGATTTTCAATCAGTTTTTGTTTAGATTAAACAAGATCATTTCACGTGTAAGAATCAATGAACAGGTTAGTTTATTAATAAAAAAAAAAGAACTGAATTAGTAGCAAGGTTTCCGATATGAAATTAAATAAATGCTCCCTCTTTCAAAGAAAAAAAAAATCAAGCATTTTGCCTTTTATCTGTCTCCTTAACTTTTATTTTACAGAAATTCATAAAATAAGTAGCTTAAGCAAAATCCATTAATATTATTGCTTTTATACAATATGAATTACTATTTTCATCTTTGTTAGTATTTCTTACGCAATGTTTATTATCCGTAGATATAACGAGTAACATGTTTGATCTTTGTTTTGTAATGTTACTTTATACTCGAACTCGAAATGTGCGTTGGACTGTCATCACTTTAACTGTTATTTTACGATTTTAATTACAGTTAAGTGTCTTTTACATTGTAGAAACATATCAGTTACGAGTATTCTGAAAATGTTTCCTAATGTTTCACTTGTAAAACAGTTAAGTGTATTTTACATTGTAGAAATATATCAGTTACGAGTATTCTGAAAATGTTTCCTTATGTTTCACTTGTAAAACAGTTAAGTGTATTTTACATTGTAGAAATATATCAGTTACGAGTATTCTGAAAATGTTTCCTTATGTTTCACTTGTACAACAGTTAAGTGTACTTTTACATTGTAGAAACATATCAGTTACGAGTATTCTGAAAATGTTTCCTAATGTTTCACTTGTACAAGTATTTTCAAATATTTCTTTCTTACAATTATTGCTATAATCGCAACCACATGTCACATCCCTTTAATATGAGATTAACATTTAAACGAGTGAATATTTTAGGTACATATCATAAATTCAGTTTAATGTGCTCCCCTTTAAGATGCAGTCTCGGAATCAGTTGCATTCAAGTTTGAAGGCCCTGCTACTTTTTATTACTTATTTATTTTAGTAGTTTTCATAATACGACTATTTCAAGCAATAGAGTTAATAAAAATAATATTAGTTTCATGTGGCATGGCATGTTAATTGATCTCTAAGCACGAACCTGAGTGAGGTGTTAAATGTTTGCCATAAGTTTTTATACTAACATAAGGAAATTTAGCGAAGTTGCGTTAGGTCTAATTTACAAATAGTACATTTCTGAGTATTTGATTAATAAATAAGGAGATTTAGATCTAAACGATAGCTGCAATTAACTTTGATTCTTCTGTTCAGATCAAAATCACCCCTTTTTCAATGCTATTAATATTAACTTAGATCAAAACTAAGAATCAATCCGCTAATGAGTATAGCTAACTAAATATATTTTCTTACTTATAAAAATTGTAATGCCTTTGTTCATCAGTTCGATACCCTCGCTGACGGCAAGTCCAATAATAGATCATGAGGTTCGGCCAGTTTAGAAGATTTCGATTAGTCCTAAGTCCACATTCTAAGCAAAATTCAAAACAATCTCTATCATAAAATACGCTAGGGGTGTTAAAATTACCTGTAATTTCGAAGACTTACAAGCAAATGCTGATTAACACCCTACACATGACCAAGAGTGCTGATCTACAGACTTCAATAAAGGTAAGGTGCATATATATATATATAACCTTGAAGTAAATAGATTGAAATGTTCGATAACACAATCATGTTTACAATATAAGTTTACAACACAATTTTCAAAATGTTTGAATACCATAAATATTTTGGTGCAGTTCAGGTGTCTGCTTTAAATTTGCTTAGTGGCTTCAATACTTATTTAATTCAAACCATTTTAATGTGTATTTAGCGCATTTAATTATAAACTTTTCTACATACGGAAAGTTTATTCAGCAAGTACAATACAAAATGAGGTTACTTTGTACATTAACAAATACGTGACTAGGTGTTTAAATAACTAGAAGTTTTACCACTCAATATGCCAAAGGATATTCCAAACATAATCAAGATAAGAACTGTATTTTTTCAGACAGATGGTGAAGGCATACTGAAAAAAGGGCTGGCTCTTCTTAGTAGTTATTAGTATAATTATGTTGTTTTCAAGAACACTAAACAGGTGAAAACTAGCGAAATTTAAACTACAATGTAAAAATTAGACATATTCCATTTTACATGTAAATTCTTTAGAAAGGAATAATGATTTTTTTATGTGCTCTCGAATTTGTGAGTCGGATAAAAGAGTCAATCTTTAAGAAAAATTGGTCAATCTCCTTAACAATCAAATATATTTTTGATAAACAATGGCTCACAACTATAATTGTCAACCTGCTGTACTTAAATACACACAGGTATTATATGATTAAAAAACTGTGATAATTAAAACACACCATTAAATGTGTACATGTAATAGTTTAGATATTCATTTTCACTCATATATCAGGAAATAACTTACAAGAAACGTTCTGATCTAAGTAATTATTTGCTGAATCTATTAACATCATAGCCACAGTTAAGTATAACAAAAAAGCAGATGTGTTGGATTTCTTCTGTTTTTGGGAGGCACAAGAGAAGTGTTTGTAACTTTCAGGAGGCACGCCACATGAATAAATGTACACCTTCTTTAAGTTTCTGAATTCAATGAAGTCAACACTAGCTTGCCATTCTTGCAGGACGAGCGCTTGGGTTAGCTCAGATTTGATTTACACAAACAGCAGAGATCGCCTATGTTTCGGTAGAATGCTCCTTTTTGTCGTGTAGGAAAGGTAATCGGGCTGTCTTCAATGAGAGATTTGTCTGAAAGTAAGAGAATATCTACTGTACACTGCTCTCCATGAAGTTAATACGACATAAAAGTTATCACTTTTTTATTCTATTTTTAGCATAGCATAAAAATGATCAAAGAGCACAGTATTGATTCTTGTTTTCCTGTTCTTTGTTAAAGGACAGAAGTTGGATTAAGACTGCTAAATAGTAGGGTTTAAAGCTACATGTTACGAGAGAGTAACGAGTAGGGTTAGAAACTATATTTTAAGATTGGTTAGAAGTAGGGTTAGACGTTAGATATGTCAAAGAGATAGAATGACTAGAGACTACATGTTAAAAATGAGTAAATAATAACATCAGGAACAATATGTTAAGTCGTAGTAAATAGTAGGGTTAAGATTTTGTATATAATATAATTAGAAACAGTGTGATAAGAATGAGTGAGCTAAAATTATATGTTAAAACAAGGTAAATAACATGATCAGAGACACTGGTAATATTTGAAATTATATGTTAAGACTAAATTAACAGTACGACTGGAAAATATACACTGACATTGACTATATGGTAGGACCACAAAACTATAGATTAAGTGTGATTAAACAGCACAGTTAGAAATATGTTAAAACTAAGTAAATTACAGTTAGAGACTAAGTTAGTAGTTAGAAACGATATCTTGAAATTGAATCGATAGTAGGAGTTCTCAGTAAATAGGGGATGAGAAATTATAAGTTGTGTCTGAGAAGATAGCAGGGTTATAAAGTATACTTTAAGACTGGATAAATTGTATGGTTAGGAAAAAGTATAAACTAAGACTTAATAAGTAGCAGGGTTAGAAATTATGTGTGACAACTAAAGGCTATAAACTATTAATATTGAATGAGCAATATAAATAGAAATTGTTTGATAAGACTGAGTAAGTAGTAGGGTTAGAAGCTAAATATTAAGTAGGAGTAACGATAATATGCTACATGCTAAGACTCAATAAGATGGAGGAATTGAAAAGCATATGTTAATATTGAATAAATATTAAGATTTTATACTATATGATATTGGTAGAAACTGTACGTCAAACTGGGTAAACAGTAAGGTTAGAAATCAGAGGGTTAGTACGTTATATAAAACTATTTTGAATATACAAACTTGCATATATCAGAAGTACATTTTGAAATTATTTCGTGTATCGTAGTTAGCGTGATGCCACAGAAGATTGATCGCCTTTGGGAAGAACATATAATAGCCTTTTCCGAAGGAAAATATTCATATGCTCATATCATAAAATATGATTAGATATAGGATTTAGAATTTCCAGGAAAGGGATATTCTTTGTGTCATTGGAGAACGAAGCAATATAGATTAACCCGGGACATCAGGAACATTTAGGAAGAGACTACAACAAGTTGTACCCCAACAGTGGTAAGAAAAATGCAGCATTTTATAACAGGTAAGAATCCATGAATATAAAAGTCAGATACAAAAGCAATCTATGCGCCCCAGAGAATATAGTATACAACATAAGCAATCTATGCACTCCAGGGAATATAATATACAACATAAGCAATCTATGCGCCCCAGGGAATATAGTATACAACATAGGCAATCTATGCGCCCCAGGGAATTTAGTGTACAACATAATAAAAAAGGATCAGCGTGTTTAAACAAAAACAACAGAGTATGGGTTCACCAAGATAAGCCTTTCAAATCCAGAATTCAACTATGGCATACTTCAGGCAGCTAGAGAACGGAACAAGTGTTCACGCTACTCCATACCTTTGAATTTTTCTGTTACAAAACTGTTGAAACGGGCGCTAGGAAACCATCACTTTTCGTAAATGGATGGACTCTGCAAAACGGGACAATTTTCAAGAAGCATGGTCGTCAGACTATGCATAAGTAGCTGTGGCGACACAAACTGTAACGACGTGGTGCCACTCCAAAATAGTTTTAATATAACGTACTTAAATCTCCGTATAAGTTAAGACTAAGTAATTTGCAGGGCTAGAAATTATATGTTACGACTTAGTAAATAGAAGGGTTAGAATCCATAGTTTAAGACGGAATAAATAGCATGATTATGGAAAAACATTAATAACACATCAACATAATAATTAACTCTTTATTAAATTTTTGCATTATTATCTTAATATGTTATTACTGTGTTTTATGTGTTTGTACAAAGTACTTCTTTAAATAAAAATTATGTGTTAAAACTGAGTAAAAAGTAGGAAGATAAATTATGTTAAGACAGAGTAAACACTAGGGTTAGGAACAAGATGTTAAGAATTATATATTAAGAATGAACAAATAAGAGAAGTTAAAAACTATATAGTTGGAAGTTATATATTAAGAATGAGCAAATAAGAGAAGTTAAAACTATATAGTTGGAAGTTATATATTAAGAATGAGCAAATAAGAGGAGCTAAAACTATATAGTTGGAAGTTATATATTAAGAATGATCAAATAAGAAGAGTTCAAAACTATATAGTTGGAATCTACGTATTAAGAATGAGTAAATAAGATAAGTTAAAAACTATGTAGTTAGAATCTATATATTAAGAATGAGTAAATAAGAGGAGTTAAAAACTATGTAGTTGGAATATACGTATTAAGAATGAGTAAATAACTGGGTAAGAAACTATATCTTAAAACTGAGTAAATAACAGGATGCAAGTTACATATTAAGATTCAGCAAATTAGAAACTATTTACATCAAGATATAATAAATAGTAAGACTGGAAATTATGTGTTATGTTTGAATAAATAATAAGGTTAGAAACTATATGTTAAGTCGGAGTAAATAGAATGGTTAGATTCTACATGTTAAGACTGATAAAGAAAGAATAATTAAATATATGCGTTAAGATTGAATTAATAGTAGGGTTGGAAACTATATGTTATGGCTGAACGAATAGATGATTACAAGCTATACATTAAGTCGGAATAAATTAAATGGTTAGATTCTATAATCTCTTCTTCTTAGACACTTGTAGTCCACTGAAGGGAGTAGCCTTCCTCATATAACTTCCACTTTTCCCGATCTTAAGTAGTAACTTTCAGTGTCCCACATACTGTATCGCCTCTCCATATTTTCTTTCGTTGTCGCTTCCTTCATTCCAATGTTCTTGCTTGTAACTCTGGTATCCTCTTTGCCAATTTGTTGTTATTTTTTCTGGCTATTATTTCCCAACCTATCTTTATTTTAATGTATATAAAACTCTTTGTTTTTATCGTGAAACGCCCAGTGTTGAGATTCCCTGTCCTCATTCTGTCGTTTTTAGCTTATTTTATATTTATTTAGTATTAGCCTATGTTCCATATAACATTGTTGGTACTAATTACAGCTTAAAGACATGGATACATTTTTGGTCCTCTATATACCAAATGTACTCCAACTTGGTTTCACTCAAAGATCAACCCCTTCTGTTTTGTTACGTTTTCACCTGTGTCTCCATGTTTTGATTTTCCTGCAGGTATCTCCAGTCTTGTGATCAAGCATTCAATAATTCAGTTGACCCTCCACGTATTTACAGTTCCCGCCATTAGCGCTAAATCGTCTGTAAGTCCATCAAAAACTTCTCCATCAACCTAAGATATTTTATTCTGTAGAAGTAAATTTCGAAACACACATTGTAGGTAAATGAGATATGATATCTTTGTGTATCTCCGCACTCTATTCTTGAGACACGCCGTTATCTGTATGATGCACATATGTGCGTATTTATATTCTAGAATATTAATGTATCATTTTGTAATGATAATTAGAGCAATTAAAAATGATTTTATCTTCAACAGAACCCAAAACCTTTTCCTAGTCTACAAACCTATTGTACAGGTTTAGATGACACAAATAAACTTTATTAATCATTTGGTTAATAGCTAGTAAATGGTCAGTTGTAAAGTAATATTTTATAAATTCTGCCTGTTCTAGGTTGATTGACGTCCAAAGTGTTCACTAATCTAGCCTGTTATTAAATGTTTGTAAATATGTAATAGTAGACTTATGCGTTTGTACATTATTATATCATTCTGCTTTCTTTTTCGTTCTAAAAGACGATTGTTTTTGCTTTTTTCCATGTATGATATCCTCTTTTCCGGCAATATTATTTAAATAGAGCTATAAGTTGGGTAATCATTTCTTGCCCTCCTTTTCTGAATATGTCGCTTACGATTTCAGCACCTCTGCACTTACTGTGTAGCCTTTTTTTTGTTGTTGTTCTCAGTTCTTTCCTTTTTCAATATATTTATTTTATGGTCTTGTCAAATTTTGTTTGAAATTCATTTCTATTCCACAAAGTTCTATTTTTCTTGCTTCTTCTACTGCAGTTTCTCTCAATTTTTTGTCCCATTCTTTACCATTATACTCTTCCAGGTTTTGAATCTGGAACTCGTTTTTAACGCAACTTCAAAGTTTTCATCATCCTTTTCAATTTCTGCATGTTCATGTTTATTTCCTGTTCCTTGGAAATCATTTTTAATCTTGTGATTGTTTTATTTTTACTATTTTTTTATATGTAGCACCATGTGGCTCATTCTGTGACCAATGTAATGTCCACTTTCGTGACGATATTACAGTTTCTAATAATTACACTTTGATTGTAGAAGATAAAATTCATTTGTTTTTGTTTTCAGTATTTTCCTTCGTCCAGTACTTGTTTTTATGTTTCTGAAATAATTTATTTGCTATAATAAGCCTGTTGCGTAAGATATTCAACCAAACTCTTTCCTCTGTTGTTTCTTGTTCCAATAGTAAATATTCCTAGGATTGTTTATTCTCCTCCATTCTGTCGCATTCCACGTTTTGTACTGATATCTTTAAACACACAACCTAGTTTCCATTGCTTTCCTTTACGCACTGATATCTTCCAATACACAGCATATTTTCCATTGTTTTGTATCATTGTATTTTTTGTACAATTTTATAAAATTCTTCAACCGCTTCATCATCGTAACTTTTGTTGGAGCATATACTTAAATCACCATTATCTTTTTTACCATTCCATTTTTACTTCAATAACTCTATTTGCTTAATTTTTTCAATTATTATATATAATCTTTAAATTCTTAATGTATCAAAAAGCGCATTTCTTTCACATTATTAAATTTCTTAATGTTCCCCGTTATTTAATCACATTCAATTTTCCAGCTGAATGGTACTTTCTCCCATTATGTTAGCTTCAGCTAAGCCTGTGCCAACTCAGTTGAAGTCTCCCAACTGTTCTTCTGTCCCCAATGCCATTATTTTGTAAGTGGGCAGATTGATCTTTGCCATGTTTCTTTACTTTGTTTTGTTCATTTAGTGATTTGAGATGGGATCCTTCAAAGCTTGGAGTCCGGCACTGCTCCTGCCCATTGGAAACTCAGAGGATGCGCGACGTCCCTTCTCTTTCGTTTATGGTCTTTAATTTATGGATATTAGCCATAAGATGACCCACAGGGAAGTTGTGTTGTCAGAGAGATTTTCTCTTAGGGTTATCTCTCCACTAGTTTCAAATCTATATATTCTATCACGGATACACGGGAAGAGAGATCTGATGCCGTTAGATCATTTAGTAATCTATATGCCATTTCGTCTTTCATAGTCTAGCTACTCACTAAAAGAGTGCTCGAAGCCATTGATGTTTCTTGCGGCTGCCAAGTTATTCTACCAGCAATCGGCGTTTACAGTCGCAAGCTTCTACTATCATATGGCATCAGGATAACTCTCACGTTACATCACTATATGTTGACTGAGTAAACAGGATTAGAAGTTATATCTTATAACTGAGTAAATAACAGGGTTAAAATCGAGATGTTAAGACTTAGTTAATAGAGGGGCTTTAAATTATATGTTGAGATTAAGTAATCGCTGTTAAACTATATTTATATTAGAACTGGGTAAATAGTAGGATATAAAACTACTTGTTGAAACTGAGTATGTTGGCAAAGCTACACATGAGCTATTTGCGCTGACCGTCCCTAATTTTAAAGGTATATACAAGAGGGAAGGCAACTACTCAATATTATCCATCTCCAACTCTTAGACACCTTTTGTCAGTTTGAAGACTAGCATTTGACTGTCACTGTTAAAGTAATTACGGCCGCAAAATGCAGAGCGCGAATTATTTATTCTTTGGCTATAACGGAACGCGAACCATGGAACCTCAACTCCGCCGTCTAGCACGCTAACCATTGGGTCGCGCTCATCCAAAATGAGTACATAGCAGGAGTTAGATACTATTTGTCAAGATTGATTAAATCGCATATTGTATCAATTCAATTTATATGCGAATTTGTTTTCTGTCCGCCATCTCATTCCACTGTTTTGGAGTTAGCTGGCTCGAAATGACCTGGAGGGAGGCAAGGAGGGGGGGTTCTTAAAGCTAGAAAGTATGTTAAGACCTGAGTAAATAGCATGCTTAAAAATATGATTATACCGTAAGGTTAGAATCTACGTTAAGATTGGATTAACAGTAGGATTAGAAACTGTATTTAAGACTGAGTAATCAGTATTTACGATAGTTTCAAATTGTTTTCATATTATATGTACATATATATATATATTTATACGGGAAGCGTTTAAAATCATAACTATAATGTTCCAAGATTAACTGAGATATCGTGTTAGGATAATTCCTGAGGTTATCGTATAAAAGTTAAAAACTTACAGTTAGTTTCCTTTGGCATGTATTCTTGCATTTCTCCTAACAAATGTACAATGGCTTCTGTATCCCTAGTTATAAGAAATAAGAACAGTTGTGTTTCACTTGTGATATTCTCTAAAGCAGTTCATTACAGATTTATTTCTTTCTCACTTAAGGTAAAATCTGTGACGTAGAGGCCTAATGCTTTCTTTGATTGGCCGTACTCTCTGCTGTGGACTGCAGTTTCGCCTATTCAAGGCTCATCAGCACGACTTTGGCTGGCATACCAAAAACAAAAAGAAGACAGTTAGGCCTCTTATATCGGTTATTTTTATATAACATTAATGGGGTTTTTATGTCCTTTAAAAAAACCACATTAATATTGTTTAACATTGCAACCATTTTCTGTAACTATAATTCTACTTAAGATCTTTTACAAATTGACTGATCAAATATAAATATCGGCAAACATATAAGAAATATATTGATCCATTTTCTTGAAGTCCAGACACATACTTACTTGCTGAACAAATCTATGTTCTTAGTCATACTAATATTACAGTAAAGGTCAGCTCTTCTAATCGAAAATATATATATATATGTATATCTATCTTAACAGTACTTGCTCTATTGTGTGAACGTTTTCTCTGTAGAGCATAATATACAGATCACCATTGTGATTATCAATTGTTACTACTTTAGACTTGGAGTACTTGATAATCTTGAAATGGACTAAGTTGGGCTTGTATGTTTCAAGATTTTACATTTCTTTGAACAAATACTATCCAAAACTGATATGATTTAGAATTACTTTCTTATTCTTGAGTATATAAAATATTACTGCCACACTAAATAATTTGACTTATCTCGTAATATTTAAATATACTTGTTTCTTATTAAAAGTTCACAGAATATTTTCTCATATTTTGAATAAAACTAATTTTAATTAAATGTTGTTGTTTTTCCGTATCATATTTTTATATTATCCATTATCAAAGAGTTAATTACTTTAAAAGTTAGCAACAGACATTACAGTAATTCACACACACACACACAAAAACATCATTTGGTTGTTCCTATGTTTTTTTTTATTGGACAACAAAAATACAAATTTCCGAACTAACAACAACAACAACAACAATTCACGTCAATCCAATCACACCTCAACTAAATAGGAGCAGTATAAAGCCAGAACAATTCGAATTAATATAAAAAGAGAGCTCAACAACCTGGATATAATGGATGCAGATTCTGATAAGTCAATACCTTCTGGTAATGATAAGTTTATCTTACGCAACTCTGACACTCGTAGGCTTGTTATTTTAATCACGTCACATTAAATTCCTTGTATTTCGAGAATATAATCTTTAGTTATTAAACATATTGTTTGATTCAGAGTTAATTATTTTAATTGAGTGACTGAATTATTTCCTTATAGGGATTTATGAACGTAATTATGCCAGTTTGATATTAAGAATACGATAATTATAAGATGACGTGACAAAAGGTATAAATATGATTGTCAAAACACACGTATTTGTTTAATATATACGTTTACTTCATATTTGTTTACAAAATATGTTCTAACTCATACTCAAATTAAGTTTCAGCTCTATTTTCAATAACAACATTAAACTCTATATAAATGTATAATTATTCATGCCAGCTCAGAAATGAATATCAAACAAATCCAAACAAACATGATTCATTCACATAACTATTCGGATATAAGTCTTATCATTCATTAATTAGTTATAATAAACTCTATATACATATTCCAACTATTCACAGCAACTAAATACAATAATATATAAGACATTAAAAGGAAAAAGAACATTTATCTATGTATCATTTCTAAGGCCCGTCATGGCCAGGTGGTTAGGGCGCTCGACTCGCGGTCTGCGGGTCGCGGGTTCGAATCCCCGTCACACCAAACATGCTCGCCCTTCCAGCCGTGGGGGTGTTATAATGTGACAGTCAATCCCACTATTCGTTGGTAAAAGAGTAGCCCAAGAGTTGGTGGTGATGACTAGCTGCCTTCCCTCTAGTCTCACACTGCTAAATTAGGGACGGCTAGCGCAGATAGCCCTCGTGTAGCTTTGCGCGAAATTCAAAAACAAACAAACAAACAAAATCATTTCTAAAAGTATTTTCATCGATAAAAAGAATTAACTCGATAAAATAAATACACTATTCTTACCATAGGCATTTTGTCAAAAGCCCTAGACAGAATTTTATACATTTGAAA